CGACCAACTCCCCAACACTCCCCCCTCTCCCGACGCCGACCCACAACACAACGCCACCCACAACCTCCATCCCTCAACCAAGCAACGTCACCACTGAGCAGCGTTAGACCGTTCAGCGGGGCCTGTCGACCACGTGTGTCTTATGGTATCGTACTCACGAAATTCCGATTTGTAACTGTGCCCTATAATGCAGCACAATATCAGCGCTTCGAGGAGGTGGATACCCAGGGCGGGGGCGGGGAAAGGGGGGGGGGGCGGAAACAGCGAGTGGAGGGGGTGTGGTAAAGGCAGAGAAATTTAATGGAGTGCCTCAAAGTTTGATGCAAAAACGCATGATCGCACCGGTTCGCCTGGTGCGTTCCAGCCTGGGTTTTCATATCGTTTCCAATGCTTCGTAGAAGAAACAGAGTTGTAGCTCACTCCTATTAATTATATGTTGATTTCGTGCTCCCAAAAGCCAGTTTGTTCGAGTTTCTACTACTGCTTTTTTATGCGGTACTTTGCTTTATCGCAAAGAGTCATTTCAGAGAGCGGAATCATTTGATGCCCAATCAAAAGGTCCTTCCGCTGCCGATTTGGTATGATGTCTCATTTTCTACGAATTTTCAATCCGTAAAACACAGCGCTGCTATACGTTATCAAAACACATTCGACAGAATTTTAAAAGTCTACGAGACCAATGTGCTGAACTTTGCACCGGGTTTCCACAACATCAAACTAGCTTTTTCCCTCTCCCCTCAGCTCCCTTGCAGTTTGGTCATCACTCAACAGACAAACATCTATATTATAAAAACAGAAATTTTTTACTGCTTTTTAAAGGAAAAGTTGGGTCAATCGAAAGTAAGAGAAACTGAAGTTGAATCATTGTGCAGTGAGCTGAACTTTCAAAACTTTGAGTAGAGTTGTAAAGTTAGCTCGAACTAAATTCAAGATTGTAAATTGGGATACAGGAGTGGATGCATATTAATTTCGGGCTCGTTGTTCGAGCATATCGGATAAACTTTTTCGTGATATTTAAAAAAATTTTTTCTCGCAACTTTTTCTTAACATTTTTGAAAAATCAGGACCAGTGTTACAGCTAAAATCCACTCGTATTATACGAAGGCAATCGGGACTTGAATGTTATTTGCGTGGTTATGATGATTCGTTAGTCCCGCCTCGGTCTCCGCGACGTCCAAAGCGAGCAAACTCGTTGAGAAGCCAGTCTGAGCAAAGGTCAGGATGAGCAGTTGGTTGAGGTTTAAAGCGAGTGATCTCAAACGATAAAGAAATTTTTGAAATTGACAAGTAACGACGATCTGCAAATTCCTCAGTTTTTGCTTTTTGGATAAACTGAGCCGTTTCCTATTGGTTTTCGAGCTACCAGAAACAAATATAACGGTTTATTTGCAAAGTAGTTTTAAAAGGTGATAGTGTGATATTGTTCTTGTGCATTTTGTGCTGCTACAGCAGTGTAAAACACATATTGCCGAGATCTTGCGTATGTGTGTGTTTGTGCGTACATTCGAGTTTCCGTCAGAGTTTTTAAATCATCAACCAAAAAAATTAGGAAGCTGAAATTTTAGGAGGAAAATCAAATTCACTTTTCGCGTACAGCTACGTTTGACGTGCGAACAATTAAAATTTTCAAGGAAAATTTCCAGCTCGACAGCCAATGAAGATAGAAGCTAAAATTTATGGAAGATGTTTCTTGTTCATAATCTGCGAACCTGAGAAAATTAAGCTCACCTTTCACGTATGTATACGTTTCACGCACGGTCACATGAAATTTCAAGTAAGTGAATTGTTGCCACAGAGCTCGGGAATGAGGCAAGAGAGAAAGCCAAAGTTTTAGGATGGTGTTTCCTGTCAATTTAAATTCAGCATTTACTTACACCTTTCATGTGACCATTAAAAATTTTGGCCAAAAATTATCTAATTCGGAAACTAGATACAACAGAAAACCTGAAATTCAAGAGGGAGCTTCCCGTTTACTTGCGAACCTAAAAATCTGAATTCAGCCGTCACAGATGACAAAGTCTCGCGCATGAACCTAAGAAAGTTAATGCTACTATTCTAATGGCTAAAATTGGACGATGGTATTTCCTGTCACTGTGCCCCTTGTAAATTTAAATTCAACTTTTGCGTACACCTGCATGTCTATACGAACATGTGAAATTTCCAGTGAAAAATTTTTTGGTCCGCTAACTAGACAAAATTTTGACTACGTTTCACATATCAAACTATTTGTCAGCATTGTAGACTAATTTATGGCGTTTATGAAGCTTTATTCAAAGTAAAAAACATTTGCCATTCGGTTCAGTCAATACTTGGCCTAAAGAATGATACCACTCAGCTAGAGAGAGTCGAAAAAAGTTCTGCAAAAAAAACTGATAAAGATCTGAAATAAATGCTGCGCGATTTGTTATATCTTATTTGTAAGGTGTTCATGAGAATTATCAACAACTGACAAAAAATTCTCCTCAATGAACAGCTGCCAACGAAGGAAGTTGGATTCCAAAGTAACAAAACATGATGGGCCACATTTTCTTCATAAGCTACCTGGTTTTCTTCATAAGCTACCTGGTAGTATCAACTCCCTCTTTGTTTCTTTCTTGTTTTTCATGAAAAAGCATTTGATGGAGTAGAGCTGAATGTTGCGCACTGAGCTCTTGTAGATGGAAAGAATGGTAAAAACTGTTAATTTGTTAAGGAAGCGAACATGGGCTGTTCGACGGACGTAGTACTTTTATTCACTCAGCAGGCAATCATTTTAATCAGGAGAAGAGTGAGGCAAAGCGAACCGATATTGCATAAATTTTTCATGTCCTGCCGGTTCTTGTTCTTCAGACCATATTTCCAAATCAATTTCCGAAATATCATACGGATCATGTAGGATACGTGTGATATTTCGAAAATTGTTTTGGAAATATGGTCTAAAGATGAAGAGCAGGCAGCTAAATCATCTTTGCTTCGCGGATTACATAGCTCTTATTGAAAGCAACCCTCGAGAGATAAATGAGATATTGCTGAAGCTAAAAGCATAAAGTAAGGAAGTGGTCCGGAAATTGAAAAGATGGAAGTGATGCAGTGCGCCGGATTGCTTGCAGTAAGACTGCATACGGAAAGTGCTAACTTGGAAGAAGATGGCAGTTGCGTCTATCTTGGTCTGGAAGTAAATGGGCATTACAATCTCCAACTGGAGATTGAACGCAGAATAGACTGATGTAAATTTCACAGTCGTCGATATCCCCAAAGTGCTGAACCAGAGCAATCGTGCCAGTGTCTTTATGCGTTTTTGCTGTGTACCGCTGTAGCGCTGCTACACTTGGCAAAAACGTATAGTGTTGAGGGTAGTCCGTGTGTGTGTGTGTGTCTGTGTCTGTGTCTGTGTCTGTGTATGTTCCGAAACGAGTGAATTTTGTCATCCATTTTCAACTTAGCAACCAAAAAATCTGGGGCAGTTTCCTGCCATACATTATCAATTCACTTCCTGCAGCGGAAATTTCCTTTTAAAAATTTCACTTTATCAGGAGATTGAGCAAACGTTCGGCAGGCGCAAATGCAAGTCAAGAAACACTCTCGCATTCCTACAGCAGCCTAAGGTATTTTTTAATTGATCTTTTTGACAGTGGGCTGCCACTTTTGCTTTGATATGAAGTTCGACGGGCTTCCGACAATCAAAAATTATGCTTTTCTATGCTTGGGTTAGGGTTCTGAGAACTCGAGACTTTTATATCGGAAGTTAGATGTTCGGGCAGCATTGCCAAAATTCATGTACGAATTTAGCAAGTTAGAATGAACGATTTTTACCAAAATTCGGTAGTCTTTGTGGAGATATGTCGTTAGTGATGTTATGAATGCACCTAGATGACAGGCTTGCCTGTCTTAAACTATATTTCTGCGGTTAGTACCAACCATTTGTCCGATAAATGTGTAGTATTTCTTTGTAGACTTCCCAAGTGGTCTTTACATTAACAGCTTTTACACGATCTTCATTAGCTGTTAGCAAAGCTAGGAATAACGGCGGAATAATCACCTGGCTCGTTGCTTTTGCGTCTCCTTTGCCCAATTTTGCACTTTTGCTGAAAAGTCCCGTTCATCTGTTTCTGTTGTGTGTTTTTGCTGACCGTAAAAATGATTTTGGTTTCTTGAAGTAAAAAAAGACAGGCAAAAAGCAACTGACCCTCAATTTTATTGCGAAAACTATTGCTTAAACTTTTTCCCTCGTTGTAGAAATTGCAAAAGGAATTCTTTTAGATTAGCAATGCAACCACAGTTTCAAATATCTGGAGATTTGAAAACCTTTCAAGTCAGTGCAGTACGACGACTCTGGAAACAGGTCCTTTTTATTCAGTCACGTTCCTTGAACTGTTTTCCTAGATAATGCGTGAAGCATCTCTATGCGCATAAATGAATTAACAAATAAATATATCAAGAAAACCAATAATATATATGCGAATATATGATTATTCATACACATGTTACTACGAAAGCAACGACAGTTAGTGTGGGCGTTAATTGCGTTTTTGGAACGCTTTGTCATGTCGAAGGCTATGCCAGATCGCTCCGCCTTCAGCTGCTTGTCTCATGCTAATTAAGCGCCTCCAACACAGGCGCGCTACCTCCTCGAAATAGGCGAGTATTCATTTCTATTATCATAAGCACTACGACGTGAACTACTTACCGGCTGTCAGCAGTGGAAACAAAATCATTGGCGACACGCATTGGGCAGGCCCGCGCGATCATGCGTTTTTGCAGTGTTTCGTGCTGTAACAAGATCACCCGAAATTCCGCTAGCTAGAACCTCTGACATACTGGTGCGCGAATTTCGGTAAGTTAATTGTCCACGCTATACTTGGACAGGGAACATTCCCTTGAAATCCCAGGTTCCTAGCTTTCCCAGTTCCCGAGTTACCCTAATTCCAGCCAAAAAATTTTGCGGGACCGTGCGTGGCGACCACGCACGACTAGGGCTGAATTTGATAAATTCAAGTTGTAGATGAACTGAGAACATTTGCCGAGAGTTTCAGCCTCCCAGCTTTCTTGGTTCCAGGGCTAGCGATTTTCGCACCATGAACCCTCACCGGGCAGTACGCGGGAAACGTGCACACCTGGGGGATGAATTTAAAATCTTCAAGTTCTACATGGGCGGGAAACATTATCCCAAAATTTCAGCTTTCCAGTTTTTCTGGTTCCCAAGTTGGCAATTTTCCCGCCAAAACTTTGAGGCGCTCGCACGCGGGGCCTAGACGTGCGTAAGGATTGGTACCGCGGTCCTGGAGTGGAACTTGGCCGGGGAAACCACTTGCAAAATTTTGGCGTCGGAGCTTGCTTGGGTGCCGAGTTGAAATACCCGGAAAGACACACACACACACACACGCACACACACACCCACGCACACACACACGCACACACACACACATTGGGGTCGTCACAATATGCGTTTTCGCATTTGCATGTATTCAAAAATGCATAATTATCTTCTTTTCGAATTTTAGTTTCTGCCTTAGCTACAACTACATCTTGTGCCCATCGCACTTCCTGCGGCGAGCTCGGTTAGTGTAAAATGGGCATTGCTTACGTACGTGCCTCGTATACGGGCATATCAAATGTTCGAATTGCAACACTGCCGCTTTCTTACTCTCTTGCTAACCAGACAGGCTAGAAAGCTGAAATTTTTCGAAAACACTGTGATCCTCTAAAGCATGAAAAACGCAATAGCAGTATTTAAGCATGCTAAGGCCTCTCATTGACATACTGTAAATTTCAGGATGCAAAAACGCATGATCGCATCGAAAACCCTGATACGTGTTGCTATCCAAGTTCCTTTTTGGGCTGCCTTGGATAAAATCCACCTCCATCCTGCGTACTTCCAGAACCAGAAATACCAACGAATAGTTTGTTCATCGGCGCCACTGTAGTTATCAGCCACTTCTGCCACTGCTGCCAAAGCCGTATTTGTCAACGTGTCTCTTTCCATCGTTTCCTCCTCGCCTAAGTTTTGAGTTAAATCCCCATATACGTAGAGTTGACGACTAATGTGGATCCGAGCTCACTGTAGAACTCTTCCAGCATATCGTCACTATGCGTTTTTGCATATATGCAAATACAAAAACGCATATTGTGACGACCCTGGTGTATGTGTATTTTTGTGGGTATACGTATGTGTGTGTATGAGTTCGTCTGTTCGAGCATTTCAACTCGGCAACCAAGCAAGCTTCGGCGCCAAAATTTTGCCAGTGGATTTCCTGGCCAACTGCCACCCCACGGCCGTAGTACCAACCCCACTTGCACGTGCGGGCTCCGCGTACTAGCGTGTGAAATTTTTGATGGGAAAACCGCCAACTCGGGAACCGGAAAGCTGGAAAGCTGAAATTTTAAGGGGGTGCTCCCAACCCACGTACAACTTAAATATTTCAAACTTAGCCCCAAGATATGCGTAGTTCTCACATACGGCCCCGTGAAAGTTTTCGACGGGAAAATCGCTAACTTGGAAAAGAGGGAAGCTGAGAAGCTGGAATTCTAAGAGGATTTTTCCAGCCCAAGTAAAAATCAAAGTTTTCAGATTTAACCCCAAGATCCTTGACCAAATACCATGTTTTAATAGTTGCACAATTAATTTCCTAAACTTCGAGGGCTAGTATGCTATAAATTCTGGTTACTGGGACTCCGAGTGATGTTACAACAGCACGAAATACTGCAAAAACTCATGATCGCGCGGGCCACCCTGTGCGTATCGCCAGTGATTTTTGGTTGTAGTGGGTACGTAGACTTGAATGAGCTGTGCAGTTTCAAATCTGGACAATAAACTGGCTCGATGAAATAGCAAGGAGGAATTAGGCATTAGCAATCACTTCTGCGAAAACGACTCCAAATTTGAATAATGTCGCCTATCAAAAGTCTGAAAAGCGTAGTTGCTGACGAATTCGTCTTCATAGGTACTTGCATTGTCGCTTGAACGAAATAAGATGAATTATGCTCAGCGGTGGTATGGAGAGTTGGGCTGCTCGTTTTTGATGAACGGTAGAATTTTTAGGAACTAAAAAGGTATAACGACAGTGAATTGGAGCTGGCCAATCGGTTGCTACTGCGCGTTTTCGCAATCGACCCACGCCTTCAGGCAGCTTTTCATCTCTTCAACGTGCCTTATTCCGAATTAAAGAAAAATGTACAGTTCCAGGCTCACGTTAAGGTAAATAAGTGGCTGAAGTTTTTTTCTAGGGATGCTAAAAATTTTTTGAATTCGCCGTTTTTCCCTGGCCAATCGATGCTGGATTCTCGATACTGAATTGAAATTCAGCCAAGTGTTACCCTACCAAACTCAACCCTGCTGTACTGGACAGCTTTTTCCATCTAACATTCATCGGCGGTGTGCACGCACAACACTCCTTCAAAATCCATCCACTTGGTCGTATTCTTCTTCTGCATGAAAGTCATGCAGAAAGATATCACAGTTCTTTGCGCCACTTATCTTTTTTTTAACAGTAAAGCACAAAAATAAAAGTAAGAAGTCACGGGAATCTTGCATTTTTGGAACAAGCTTCCAAAATTTTCAACTGTTGCTTTCTTAGTATGCCAGCGCTGGATCTCAACAGATCTTTTTCCTGAACTAGTATTTTTTTTTAGATAAAATTGCCATCTGTTGCGTTTTTATTTGAATCTTTACTGAAATCTCCATAAGGTTCGTACTGGGGCGTTTTATCAACACTGGTTTCAAAATTAGATGCTTAAATATTTCCGTGTATGCGGCGGCAGCACGTTTTCTTGCCACTGACTGGAAGAGCTGCAGGTGCTGGAACCGGCGCTATCGTTCGTGATGTCGCATTTACACGATGCAACAGCAATGAGTAAACCACTGCAAGCACTGGGTGCTCGGCATGTTATGCATACAAGAATACAATACAAGAGCGTTTATTGGAAGGTACCAGTTTCATTATCAGCAGTGTATTCGTGGCACATTAACTTCCAGAAAAATTGAAGTGCTCGGCAGAACTGAACCATTCAATCAAATTCATGCTCGCTTTTCCATTTTCACTTTTATCTAGCTAAATTACGCGGTCCTAAGCACAGTTTCCGTCTTTTTACGCACCCTTGAATTGACATAATTTCTGCCTCCTTTGGTCGAAATTTTCTGTGCTTAGTATCAGTAACCAGCCTTTGGTGAGACTTCTTTTGGCAAAAATTACTTCAGAAGGCATTTTAAGATGCACCACAGTAAACCGGGGATCATCGGATTGGAGATGGAGAAAAGAGGGAGGTGAGGAAGGTGTTTTAAAAGAAAATTAGTACACTTTGGTGATGACACCACACAAGCAAATTAAGAAGATTAAAATTCCTAACGTGCCCGAACAAGTTGCCGCAGCAACGATTCAGTGGATCCTCGGACCATTTTCTCACAACATAAGAGTATTGTTACAGAACAATGCGTCGCCATGCCGACTGGTAATAAAAACGGATTTAGAATTTTGTAACAGCGACGTTTACAGGTAGTGAATCAGGCGCTTATCGAGTTTGTGAATGCGGATCGAGCATCAGGCGATGTTTTCGATGCGTGGAATGTACTCGGCAATTTCTGCATTGAGCAGATGAGAATCGGTTACAGAATTGAATACAAAGTTAAGAAAGTGATACAACGCATAGAGAGCAAAAGTGCTGAGGCGTGAGCTTATCAGAATGCAGAGATTTCTTTACTGAGCTCCAGCGGGAATTTTATAAGTTCAGTTGAAAGGCCTACCGACAGGTCTGGCACAGTGGGGTAGCACTGTTGTCATGCAGTAGGTAGAAGGTTCGACTCCGCCATGAGACAACCAACCACTCTACTACTTGCTTTGACGGTTACTGGCATGTACCAGGGAGTCAAACCCGTTACCAGATTGCTTGTAAGCAATCCTCAGAAAAAACAGCCATCGACTACTTTGCCAGAAGCTGGTTGATGTTGGCATTTGTTACCACTCAGGTTACCTCGTGAGTGCCTCTGCCACTCATTGAAAGCGAAATGCGGAGGAGGCCTTGACTTTTGATTGAAAGATCCTTTGAAACACTACCCACTGCTTGGAGATGGCTGCGCCTTTCTTGCACTGCCGCAACGCAAAATTTTGTCAACTGAGATGAGCAGGTGTTTAAACAGCGGTAAAAATTCAACAGTAAGAGCTCAGTATTGTGAAAACGATGCCGAAGTCTGAAGTACACTTCTCAGACCGGAATTCGATAACCGCATCGAATCGATTACGAATACTACAGACTTTAAATTTTTTTTCTGCATTAATACGTTTTCGTGATGCAGAGTGCGAAAAAGTTTTTCGGACTTTCCGGTTGTCCGATTCTAAAAGTCGATAAAAAATAATACAGGACTACAATGTCAGAACTTAGACAAAAGTTTTGCTTTGCTAGTTTCCAGCGAAAAAAAAATCCTCATATTAAATTCTAGATCTGATTAGTTCAGAAAATCTTGAAGAACCAAATTTTCGGACTTCCACATCTGTGTTTTGGACAAATAAGATAATGGTGTTCAAGCAGTAAAAAATTTTTACTATTTGTAAAGGGAATTTTTTTCCAAATTTCCGGAATGGACGGAAAGGAATTTTAGGTCGAGAAGAGCAAATTCAGTTAAAAAGGCACAAAACTAATCGAGGGGCCGCAAAATTGTCCTCATCGTATCTAAAATTCACTGGAAGATGATTAAATTAAGCTGAAAGACGAAAAATTGAATGCAACATTGCGAAAATAATAAACACTGTGAAAAACAGAGAAATGGCAAGCATGGTTGGAACTGTCCTCTGATTGACAAAACGACACTCTTTTGACCAAAAAAGAAGTGGTTCACTTGGCCAACCCATCCTGATGAAAAGGTACATGAAGTTTTGGCCAAAGGATGCCAGATGAGAAAAAGACCTCCCAGAGATACTAATAATGACAATCCCATGCAGTTAATGACAATGAAAAATCATGATTATGTTAAAACACTATGCAGGGTTTTCGCTTGTTCTTGCACATGACTGAAAGAAATGTTCGAAAAGAGCAACAGTGGTCCGTAGGCGGATTGTCATTTTGAACACGGGAACAGTCGAAACAAAGCATACCAGTCCCCATCAGCATGTACTGCATTGAACAAACTCCCGTAGTGCTTCAGCATCAGCGTCAGCACAGTCTGCAGATGAACTTTTAAGACTGTCTCCGACTAACCATCGGACTCGATTATCAAGGGAAAGACATTCACAACACCTAGCGTGCCCAGCACAGGCACTACCTGTACTTGTCTAAGAGTTTAAGAGGCACTACCTACACTACCTGTACTAGTCTAAGCAAGAGTTTAAACTTTGACCTGAGAATCAACTCGCAAAACGCTGTCCTTCACTGCTTATTTTTAACACATTCTATGTACTTTTGCACAAAAGTGCGCTCTAGTGAAAACACATCTATGTGTATATATAAAACCACATGTTGCAACTACTCACACCCAGCTGCGAAAGCTGGATTTACGAGACGCAGTCCCCCAGTCAAGTGTGAACAAACACCACTTCCTTAAGTTCGTAGCGTACAAGCAGATACGCTTTTGACCTTTTCTTCTGCATGGGACACTGCAGTTGCGATGCGCAGCACCACACCCCACATCCCTTCCTGACCTTGCCTTTGCTAAGAATTCGAGCTGGAATTTTGTCCTGTGATCCAGAAACGTCAGACTCTCTTCCAAATCTATCTGTATTCTTATGAAGTAAGAATGACATGACATCTTGTGCGCGGCGTAAGCACCGTGCACACAGGTTTCAACACTGTGTGCATATGTAAATGCAAGACTCACTGAGATTGTGTTCCTAGAATTTGTCGCAAAACACATGGTACACTGTCTTCAATTCTGTAGCAGTGTGTAGGGACCCATTCTGCGCCTTTCAGTGCATTTTATTCACTTCTCAATTTTTGCCTTAAATTTAATTTGGTTTGCATTTTTTTTTTCGCATGCTGGTGATTTTTTTGCTCTAGCGCTGCATAAAACCTCCTAGTATTTCTCGGATACATTATAATGTGAATAATTCAGCAATGTGCACGTTATGTGCCATTTCTACCTTTTAACTGCCATTTTTTTTTCCTTATCTGGTATCTCTCGAAATAGCACTTCTGCTGAGATCATGCTTCCGTGATAAAGTTGTTGCTTCTAGTATTTAGTATTTTTGTAGAGTGTTTGTTTAGAAAACCTAAATTTTGTGGTTTCACAACTTTAAGAGACACAAAATTAAGATACTCACCTGATCATCATCAATCCTACCGGAATCTAACATTTCCAAGAATGTTTTTTGATAAAATCGGTAAAAGCGATTTATTGTCCAGCCATCGCCAGCTATGAAGCCACCACTTATAACTGTCCAGTCAACACGATACAGATGATTTATTGAGTACCTGGAAAATTTCAGTAATCATCAGCAAACATTCAAGATATAGTGACACTGGCAAAATAATCATCATCAGTTTTGATCTAGAAGCGAACAAAGTGAATTTGATTCAGGTGCTTACAGTACGTTAGCAAATTCAGTTTTCTCTAGCTTTATTCTCAAGCAATCTTCAGCTGACGCTGGTCAGAAACAGCAACAACTGCTTTTCTTTCGTGCGTTAAAACGCCCTTTTCTTCAAGATCTAAAATTTAACATTTTAATTTACTGCTTTTAGTACTGAACTAAATTCCGTTTTGCTATGTGTAGGAACAGCAATGAAAACAGGGTGCTTTTCTTACAGTACGTTGTTTTACAGCCCTTTACGAAAATTTTGCCCTCTATGGACAGCTGTAGCAAAATTTCTCATCCTTCGCCCATCTTTTATTCCGTTCGACGGTATGCTGACATTGACATATGTCAGGAAGTTATACTCATCAGCACGGCTTCCTCTACGTAAAAGTGAAGACGTAGCATGCCATTACTGTTGGGGTTGCCGGTGCAAAAACGGTCGCGACTCCGGCAGGACTCGAACCTGCAATCTTCGGTTCCGTAGACCGACGCGTTGTCCAATTGCGCCACGGAGCCCCACGTACGAGTGCGTACGTGACTATCATATATAGCGTAGCAGATCCTTGTCTTCATTGATGGACATTCAAAGGTTAAGCAGTTTTAAGTAGCTACTGAGGGAGAAGGTAGTGGAGTTCCCTTGGGCAGAAAGAAGTGTTCAAATGCAAACTCACATGTTACCGTGATTTTCTGTACGACTCGGACAGTTTGTGTGGGAATCCAATGATATATTGCTGGTGTGGGTAAGCTGCATATCGGATTCTTTAGACATGAGTTGCACGCCTGCCATTAGCACCCCATGCCTGTTCGTTGTACATGAGCCACCTTTCAAAGACGGCAGGAGTGGGCGTCTATTTTCTTGCGGATGAGTGTCAATGTTCATTAGTTGTCAGCGAAGGGAGCAATACTGAACCAGACTTTCTCGCGTGGACGCACTCAATCGTGCATGCCGCTGGTGTGTGGATGGAGTCCGACCGCTTTATCAAAAATATCAAGGCCGTCCAGGTATCCTATATTAGTGGTGATACTGGTTTTTCCCACACGCGGAGTGCAGGTATATTAGGTCTTTCAGTCTTTGACTGTTTGCCTCCAGTTACTTACTACTCAGCGCTTGTTCGATGTACGTATCTCAGCTCTTGTGGGATTTAGCGCTAGACGAAAAAATGAGAACGATTGGTTACACGATACGAGGAATAGCAGCCAGATCCTTCATTTCCAGATGAACAAGAAGCTGAACTGACCAAAGAATGCCCAAAAACGAACAGTCACGAACTTCTTCCCCATTCGGGAAGAATCCCGCCAGTTGTCAAACTCTCACCCTCGGGTCAACAATACCCTATCATTAATAAGATAACGCTGACCGCAGGCGAACAAGGAGAACCATCTAAGGTCAACGAAAGGCCAGCAATGGCTTGTGCTGACCTGACAGTACCAAAAAAAAATAATTGGCCAACGCACGGGCTGCCCGTGCGAAGATGCGTTTTTTGCAGAGTTCCC